CAGATTTCTTCATGATGAGCATTTTATATTGGGAAGGAGCAGGCAGGGAATGAAAATGAACCGAATGACCTCTGCAAAAGAGACACACACACACACACACACACAAAAACTTGAGATAATCTGCCGCAATTTGAAGCCTCTTTCGGGAGAGCATGAAGTTAATCAAAGCTGGTAGACTGCATCGCGGCATAAATATTGGCCCAAATGTGAAACTAGAATACTAACAAATGTCACTTGTACTTACAAATGATATAACAGAAACTATTAACCTGGTCTGAACTTGGGGAGATATAAAGGGGGCCAGGTGTTGAACTGTGTGCACCATCAGTGGATTTGCTTGCGGAGGCAAAGTAAACTTGTTTGGCGCTTTCGTGTACAGTTTAACTTTAGTGGACAGACAAATGCAAACTGACCGACGGTGCTGACCTTTTGGGGGATAAAAAAACAGACTCGAGTTGGAAATGGAGAAAGCCATCTCCATAAAACATGGGTTGCAGTCAGTCGTGAGACAGGAGTGGGATGTGCAAATACGTTCCCTTCAGTGAACCGTGTTAAAGCTGCACTAAATACTTTTATATTAACTATGAGTCAAATGACTGTAGTGAAAGGTGTCGCTCATGGTGATGAACCCACATAAAATTGTTACCCGACTGTGCAGTTCCCCTCTGTTCTGCAGGGCGTTTAAGAGTGTTAACGAGCTTATTACGGGGAAGTTTAGACATCTGTGGATGCAAAATCTTTCTGCTGCCACTGGACTTGGTTTTATTAGTCATTTTGATTCCATCTGGACTAAGTGGGACCAGTTTAAATATGACGGGCATCCTAAAAGGAACGGAACAAAAAAATTTGGAATTGTATTAACTTTATTGCTTTGAGCCTAAATTGATGGTTTTCCCAGCAAGACCCCGCAGAGCCTCCTGGCTCCGTAGTTCGTAGCCCTGTTCTAGACATTGCTGGTCCTGCTGGTGGTGGTTTTGTGTCTTGGACTAATTCATTCATTCCAGTTGGGACCACTGAAAGGCAGTGTGCAATACCAAAATCTACTCCCAGTCCACACAGAAACAATCTAATGTTAACCACTTAAATCCATGTCAACCTGGCTGCCTCACCTCATGCCTCCTTGGTCGTTCCTGTTCCATTTCTATCTCCCAACCCAGTTGTGTTTGGGTTGTTTAATGTCAGATCACTGGCAAATAAATAATTTTTCGGCAACAATTTCATCGTGTTGAAGCAGTTAGATTTCTGTCTGCTTACTGAGAATCGGTTAAGTACAGGTCACTGTGTTGCTCTGAATGAAGCTTGTCGTCCTGGTTTTAATTATTTTCAGCAGCCTAGGATTTCAAGTCAGGACTGGCTGTGATTCTCAGAGAGAATTTTAAATGTTCCCTGTACTCACTTGGAAACTTCTCCTCATTTAATGATAAATGGCAAAGCCCTGCTACTTTGTAGTGTTGATTTTAGGTGATTTTAACATGCTGCCCTCTGATTCCTCTTTTACTGTGGATTTTATAGACATTGTGCATTCTTTTAATCTTAGTCAGTTTAGGGCCCCATTCACTTATTCTTGATTAGTGTCGATCTCTGTGAGGCTAGCTTATGTGTGTCTGATTGTAAAGCTATTATTTGTCCCTGCTGCCACCTCCTGCTCCCACAGTTACCGTGTCCTCACTACAGACTCTGCTGACAGATATAATAAGGCCTTGACCACTGCATCTACACATAGCAATAACAAAAATCAAGGATGTCTACAGGAAAATTACTAAACTTAAACAATCCATCTAAGGTTGTACTTGACTACATAGCACCTGTAAAAACTCACAGCACGCCTTTGCAGGCAGAGAGGACATCTAAAAAGGACCATCTGATGATGTTATATCAAATTATGAAAGAACCAATGTCTAATGGAAATCAGTAAAAGAAGCCAGGTATTCTTGAATTATCTACATGAATGTAATGTTTGGTCTTGGTGTGCACCTTAAGTGTAACCAGAGAGATCATGATATCTGCCCTACAGACAGACTGCTGTATGCCTCCCACTTCTGCATATACTCATGAGCCCTTAGAGTATGGTGGGTTTACTGGGTACCCCGCAATACTGCATATGATAACACTAGTGTCATCACGTTGCTAAACGGCCATGTATAATCAGCGTATCATATTTTAAATGTATTCCCTGCGTCATGAACTGTTGAGCAGAATAATTTAGGAGGGTAAAACCGTCGCATAGAGTGTAAGCCTTTTCAGCATGCACACACTGACACATGTGTGCCATCATTCAAATGTCAAACAGCCATAAACTTGCAAAATGCAAAACTGTCAGAAAGCCGAACATGTCCAGAGTTAATGTGTCTGCAGTGACGAAAGGATACACCTACGCCTGTCATGATGGAAAGACATTTTCAGCTCACCCACCCTACTGTACCCTTTCTCCTCAAACTCTACCTACGCTTCGTTACTCATCTTTGGATAATTTAGTTTTAATTTGTTCTGTTTTAGTCATAATGTAGTTGAATTTAGTGGTTTATATCAAGGAAACATTCACTTTGAAAGGCTTTTTTTTCAGTATAACCTGCCTTGCATTGACAGTTATAGTAGTAGTTTTTAGAACCAGGTAGTATAATTGTGGTTTAATACAGGAACGAAGAAAACAAGCAGTCAAATGACCCTGTACAGGATTCAAACAAACCCCCAGGTGAGCCAAACAAATACATAAGGCCACTGATAAAATTGTTGTAAACATACAGCAGAGTTTACAGAGCAGCTGGCTGGACCCACTATACTATGTTTTTGGCCACTTGGGGGCAGCAGAACAATCTGTAAATACAACATTTGACATATTGGAGAGTCAACAGCGTTTTTCGCATTGGAACACTTTTACAAGCAATTCAACGACTGCCAGATTTTAAATGAACAAAATGTCAGTTGGGTGACTAAACTATGTAACGTGTTATCATGTGCAATGGGCGAATAGAGTTTGCTGACACACAATGCGTACAGCAGCAGAACAACTTGTAGTGTTTTTACAAGAGTATGTAACACTGAGAGCTTCAGTTTACAAGCTGTTAGACAGACAAACCATGACATGTTCCCCCATCCTGAAGTCCCCACATCATGCACTGAGCTAAAAGATAACTTGCCCTCCATTTGTTAGAAAGCCATTTCTTCTCAAATACAGCCACACTTGAGACTTCAGACAGGCTGAAATATGGCTGGAGCACTGTCACTGCCTGCCACCATGTTTCCACTGACCCAGAACAAACCCACGTTGCCTGCTACGCCTGTGTTTTGGAGACTGTTGCTAACTTTGGTTGATATTGGACAATATTAATCGTGAGTTATTCAAAGCACAGTAATCAAACACATTTTAAAGGTTCAGTGTGTAAGTTCTAGTGACATCTAGTGGTGAGGATTGCGAATTGCACCCCCCCTTCCCTACCCCAAGAGAGCAGTTTAGCTACGGTGCCCGAGCCGGGACAAAGATGTCATCTATGGGATAAAAGAGATTGCCAGTCAAGAAAATAGGATTCTTTAGATAGATGTGTTAAGAAATTATATAAATTATGTAAAACCAAAGGTTTTTTGAATATTATTGTTACTTTTTTCTTTTAACGGGTTTGCTTAATTAGATAAGCAATCTGCAAATATTACCAAAATGTCTTTTGAATTTTTTGAAATACAACAGAAACACAAAGTAGTACTGAAAGCCATAATTTCAGCTTGTGGTAAAACGGTGCAACATTTTAATGGGAATTTAGCATGTGAAAGTTCAAATTACACGTTTAAGCAAGCAATATCAATACGCTTTTAAAAAAAAAAATTATGCAAATTCGGAAAGTGTTCATTATTGGTCACTTGATAGGCACACGGTCTTGTTATATATCACCATTAGCAGTAAAAAGAAATGCATGTTTTCCACCAGGGCAGTAAAATGTGAAGTTTAGCTGCTGATCTGAGCTTCTCTGCTGTTACTGTTTCATTACCAATAATATTCATCAGCTGTTTCTCACGAAGGTAACAGCGCATTCCTGTCCACGTAACAAAGCCATAACAGAGGCTGGAGAAGAACTACATGAAGTTACAATTCAACTACATATTTTTTCAAAGTTTAGCTGGCTGATCTGAGCTTCAATGCTGAAAGCTGCCGTTTTATTGCCAATTACTGATCAGCTGATTCTCAGGAAGGTAATATACAAAGCCAAAACAGAGCGCTGGAGACAGAGTCACTACATGAAATTTCAGCGACCTCCACAGCAGGGGGTGCCCGCGGTTTTGTAGATATAAATGGCTCATTCTAAGGTAATAAAAACATGATGGTTCATTATGTAAGATCTTTATACACCACTGAAAACATAGTTATGGATCTTATATTGCATTTCTGTCAATAGATCCTAAGAAATATTACACGCTGGACCTTTTTAAATGATAATCTAAAACGATAATACAAATTTTTCTGTGGTTTATCACTAAACCGGTAACCGTTACATCCCTAGTTAGTGCCATACAATCCTGCCTCATGACTGACTCCAAACCATGCTGCTTCTCTTTTATGAAGAGCGCTTCCTCCAATTCGGTCTCTTGTGTCTCTTTTTTTCCCCCCTAATTTGATCCATTTTTCATATAGCAATAGGCATTAGAGCTTTGAAGTAGTTGTACAAACACAACTACTTTAAAGCTGCTGGTTTAGATAATTTAGTTTAAGCGTTGGCTTGGTCACAACCTGTCTGACTGCTTGGGCTTCTTGCCCTGTAGGACGTTTTTAGTTATGTGTTCCCAGCTCTCAGTGAGTACTTTTGAGTACAGTGTTATCAAAACCTATAGAAATGAAGGCTAAAAGTACAGTGATATAGAAAGGTAAGAGGAGAATTGACTCATGTTAGATTCTCCCTCCTGTTGAAGGCACCCCAATAAGATTTACGATCCTAACATAACATTTTTCTTTTTTCTTCGGTCTTTCTCGGTCTCTCTCTGTCTCGCTCCTTCCCCATTCGTGCTTCCCCTAGGACAGCTTTTTGGTCTTGCGGTCAGAGAAGAACGTAACGCTGAACGTCAGGAACGACCAAGGCCAGCTGACCGGTCAGCTCACAGTAGGTGAGTTTCCATTTGGAAGCCATTTCATTGGAGATGATAAATGTTCACTTGCCTGTGACAGTTGATGGGAAACACTTAGCTGTGGATGTGGCCTGAATGATGTTTAAACAACAGGTTTTTCGCCCTTGTGTCATTTACCCGTTAAAAGAAAAAAAAATGATCTGGGTTACGTGTTTCTTTACACTTTACACGCTTCTCTTTCTATGTATAACTTATTCAACAGTGATCTTAGCATTAATCTGGCCATGACTGAAAATTGACTGATCAATCTTATTTTATTAATGGCTTTAATCAAAATAAGCGCAACAATTCATCTTCAAATAATCCTTAATCGTCTCTGTGCCTTAAGAAAAGACTCCGTAGTTTCTTCCAGAAACTAACCTTTCATGCACTTATTGAAAGGGCAATGAATTCTTCTTATTATCATCAAGTTCAACTATCAGTCAGTCCAAATTACCAAAGTCATTTACATGATTAATGACTACTGGAAAGCAAATGACCTGCTTATTAACATTAATAGCTATTGATCTTAGCCAGCATAAGTTGAGAGTTGATGCTGATTTGACAAGACTGGTGATATGACACTTTTTGGTCACGCTTGACCTTCCTCCGAAAATTAGTGCCTGCTTTTGTAGAAAGTGCATTTTGTCTGAAATGAGATGAATCTTGGCGAGAATAATTAAATTTCCCAGCCGTTGCAGCCCATGGATTAATGGAAGAGAGTGGAGAGCGAGAAAGGGAGACGCTAAAAGTTTCTGCATGCACATCTGGAAAAACACCAAAGTGTGGAAAACCGGAATGAATATTCTTCACCAGCGGAACAGATTACTGATTTGTCTCCATCCATTGTAAAAGCATGGCTGATCCAGCTTTGTTAGGCGCCTTTCATTTGCAGAGCAAGCACTCTACACAGTATTAGAGATTGCTAATAGTCTTACATGCCCAGACATAGTTTCCCAAAGCTGATTTGCAAGGCCAGAAACACATAAGGCAACCTTTATTTGACAGCACCATTTACAGATAGAACATTATTGTTAGCATTGCAGACTAATAAAACTTCTGTAGGTGGAAATCTGTTCTTTAATGCTTTTTAATTATCAAACTAAGATATACATTTAGTCCTGGAAGCGGTCATAAAATATTGACCAATGCAGTAGAGCGAAACAAATACAAATTTTCAGCGTGCAAGTCTTGCAATTTTATTTCCAGCACCTCGATTAAGTGCACTCTGCAGCGTTTATAGTAATTTTTTTGTTGAAAGCCAAAAGCTCCAACCAGGACGTCTTTCTCTGCAGGACCTGAGGCTGTGGAGGCCCAGTGTCAGAGGCTGGTGGTACGCAGTAAAGACGGAGGCAGACTGTTGTTCACTGCAAATGAGGAGGAGGTCATCATGACAACTGAAAAGTTCACCGTCACAGGTAAAATGAATAAACATAAGACATTTTTTAAAACTGGTACCTCTCCCTGAGTACCAAAACACCACCTTGTCTAAACACAAGCACCCAGACAACAACTTTGCAGAAATTAAATCTGGTCAAAAATTTAGTTGATCATCAACTGTCTGATAAAAGAGCATGTAAAGAAGACTTTCACACATAACCTGTTTAGTTCAAGCTAACTCTTGTTAGTTCTAGTTAGTCTAACTCTTGTGTGTTTGCCCGGTTGGTTCTTTTTGTTTAGCATGGTGTGAAGCTGTCAGTCAAACTCTCGGACATCTGCGTGGTAATTGTAAGGATTTTCCATGATGCATCAGAAAATGAAAAGGAGTTTAAACAATGTTGTTTATTTTGGCCATTAAAAAGTGGGTAAAGAGAAATGTAGTGGCCACACAATAATTATCCTCTCATGATATTAAATCAGAATCTGAGCAGTGGAAAGTAATAAAGTAAATGTTACCAAAGAGGAACGGCAGAAAACAGAGTTTATAAACAAAAACGGAGCGTAATCCAGAGGCGGATGTCTGCGGCGGCATCTTGATGTCACACGACGCCTGATCTTCATCATGTATTTAATTTTCAATCATGACGTATGAGGTCCAGTTTTGTTTCACTTATGTAACATTAACACTTTTAACTTTCTTTGCTGATTAGAGACTCACGTGGTGCATGTCACTTATAAAATCACCTACTTGACAGTTAACAGACAGGAGTTGGATTTATAGTGGCTTTTGATTTCATGTCAGGTGGTCCTTTTTGCTTTCAGACTACAAACAAAACCAGAGCTCGCTTGGAAACAGAAAGAGGGTCTTACACTCTTATGTGGTTCATATCAGGGTTTGATTGACAGCTTTTACACCAGCTTAAAAAACCTAACCAAATTGTCCCAAAAATGTACCAAAAATGTATTGAGGTTTGATATCAAGGCTTAGTAAACACACCCTTGGCTGCAGTTTTGTGATTTCTACATTTTATCGGTAGGCTCGGAAGGTGCTGTGTTCGGCCATTCAGTAGAAACTCCCGTCATCCAGGCGACAGCTTCTGAAGACCTGAAGTAAGTCTGTATTCATTGACTTTACAGAAATTCATTAAATCTTAATGTCACACATTCACGTCCTGTTTAATTAAAATGAAGATCTTTAAATAATGATGATGAATGTTCTATTGTATTTCAAAGTCGATGCCTGTGTTTAAAAAAAGGAAGAAAAAAAAACACGTGACAGGAACCATTATTCACCAGCATTATTATTATTCATTACTCTCAAGCACTCTCTTCTAAACTCAAGCATCTACTGGCTGGCTCGTTATCATTCAAATATAAAACTAGAGTTGATCATTATATTAATTTCACAGCCGAGGAGGGGAGCTAATTTGTTAGTTATTCTCTATATTGGTCAGGAATTGATGAAAGCATCGAGAGCATAGAGAGAGTGAGTAAGGTTGAGATGCTTATTAGACTCGTACCCGCCAGTGCATGTGATCCCCACTGCACTCCGCCTGAGGCTCTGAGGCTTGTGTCAGTCCATTAACGAGCTATAACGAGTTTGGTTTGTTGTCCACCTTACTGGTCCTGAAGGGAGGGCTGGGATCAAAGTTGGCAGAAAAAGCAGTGTTCTGGCATCTAATTCCTCCACAGTGAGAGGAATACTGATGAAGTTCACTTTAACACACACACACACACACACACACACACACACACACACACACACACACACACACACACACACACACACACACACAGGACTGGCACACACAGGCTCAGCTGAGGGGTGACCATCTGCAATGTGGTCAAAATCTTAACGAGAGGCAATGGAACGGGAGACAGTTGAGACTCAAAGGCTCCACCATGTTGTTTGCTTGAATAGGATTCAGATTTTCTTATATTTAAATGCATATTTGATCAAAGATATTTAATTTACACATTGTCAAAGTTTGATTCTGTTTGTGTGGTTTAATTTAAAACATATTGCATCCCCCCCCCCCAAAAGAACAACTAATTACTGAAATATTTCCAAATAAGCAGATGTACAAACTGTACTGTCAGGACTTTAAATAAATGTTCCTTTTATCTAAACCCAATTTATTTTCCATACACCATGTCAAAGCATTTAGTCATACAGTCGTATTAAAAAAGCAAAATGGATAAAAGTGAATCATGTGGGCTATTAATGACATGAATTCAAGCCTAACAACATTTTTGTAATTTTCTTTTTATTCTTAGCGTCTGTTTACAGACTAATTTGGGCTGCAGGCAAAGTAAACAAGCCGCCAGTGTACTGCAGTGGCATGTCACTTGTTAACCAATTCAGTATTGTTGTAGTATGTATATTCAGTTTAACTGCTTTGTTTAAAGAAACGCATTCCTGCCACCTATTCATTTTATATAGCCATCAATATGCTGTTGAAACAAAGGTTGTATGTAATCTAGTTTTTTTTTTTAACTGATGTCGGACTTTTCAACTAAATTTTATCCAGTTTAAACACATGCCTAAATGTGTTTTTTGATTTATATCACCAAAAACATACTTTTATTTTCCAGGCTTTGTAGAAGACAATTTCTTTTAATTAAATTATGTAATTTGTGGTATTTCAAGGTGAAAAATCACAGAATGGAAGTTTGATGATTTAAATTCATAAAGTTAACAATAGAAAAGAAAGGTAAAGCAGGCCAGGGTTTAAAGCTCCTGAAAACTTGGTTTCAAATCCAAAGTATTTCTCTGTAAGATTAGGGGAAAAGTTTAGGTGTGGAAAGTATATATTTGGCAGAAAATTGTGCTTTTATATGGACCCCATCACTCATAGTAAGAAACTAACTGAAAAAAACAACTAAAAACAAACTACACAGCACTTTTACATTCAAAAGTTGTATGAAAAAATGGATGCTTGTGGACTGAAGACCATTACTGGTGAACAATAAATCTGAAAAAAATGCAAGACATTACATTATTTCGTTAGACACTAGTTAGATTAGGCTGGGCGATGGCATCAGTTGCCTGTCTATGCAAACCTCAGTGGCTTCAAGTGTAGATCTAGCTGCTACAGAGGAGGTTATTACCAACCATTGTCAACTAACGGTTGTGCTTTTACTGCATTCAGTTCTTCCCAGCATTTTTGCGTGTGACCCATTAAGAAGTAGTTGTATTAGTCTACCGGTCAAAAATTGAAAGTAATTCACAGGAGAAGAGGAAAAATAGAGGAAAGTCTGAAAAAGAAAGTGAAGTGCTGGTCAGATGGTTGAATAGCTTCAAAAACTCCCAACATGGTGGGTAGGCCGATGGTATGAATTAGTTCATTTCTAGCATTACCAGGTCCTGCTACAGGAGGGGACATCACTAGAGAGCACATTACAGCAACTCTGCTCAGATTAGTCCATATACCTATTTAATATGATTTGACTTAAAGACCCAGTTACGCTCATGAAGCAGAAAATCAGCCCTATCTGTGACAACTCACTTTCCCTGCACTGGTTCCTTGTTAATGGTACCAAAGCAGGCACCTTTTCATTAAAAAGCCAGACAGTAAATTATGAGCCGGAATAGCCTATTGATTGATTACACGTGTGTAAATCTAATTTATCATCCGATGTGATGACATCATACTGTATAACTAGGGTGACAGTATCAAAAAAGGCCCACTCTGACTGACTGTTTTTTCTCTTTTCCACTTTCTTGCATTATTTAAATGTATGTGGCTCTCAAGACTTTTTAGCAATCTTTGCACCACCCTGAAAGTGTGACAAGTTAAACCCTGTTTTTTTTTTAAACCACTCGCCACCTGTTAGTAAATCTCTCTGGATGATACGGTTTGGCTCGCGTCCATGTCGTCCTTCTTTTCCTCTTAAAAGAAATATCATTCACTTTGTGATGTGTTTTTATTTCTCTGCAAGCCAACGGTAATCTGGGAAAAGAACAGAGCTGAGACGAAATCAAAGAAACCCACCTGAGATGTTCCCTTTTCTTTGAAGCTCCTGTTCTTCTCCCTGAGCACTTTATCTGTGCACACTCGCGCTCAAGTTTGTCATCATTAGTCTTCATCATGCTGTTCCTGAATAATAGAATGTACAGAGCATAATTTACTAAATGTTTTAAGGTATACTTTTAAATACGCCATTGCTGATAACATAACATGTACAGGATTTAATCCATGTTTGCTTCCATCGTCTTGTTGTTGCAATGTGTTAGGGCTTGCGAACTGAAGGTGATGTACAGGTTTATATTTCCACTACATTCTTTTGCACAAGAATTGAATGATAGTTAAGAGGGACTCACAGATGACAATAGGACAACCAGAAATCCTCTGCACAAGAGTATAATGCATTCAGGTGCTGGTTAACAGGCATTATTTAGAAAGTAACTTTAAATGTCTCCCTACTCCTTTCTTTCTAAGTGTGATTTCTGCTTGTTTTCTTCCGGTAGACGTAGACATACTGTACATCATCCAGTAAGCATACAGTATGATTACTGAGGTACTGTTATGTGAATAATTGTAATACTCTTACTGTGTTTACTGTTGTGTCTACATTTAGTAAAAACGTATACTACACTACATAACAAAAGATTTACTTGACTGGTCCTGCGCAGTGATATTAAGGTAAAATTAAAGGTACAATATAAACACACGATAGATGGATACATACATATATGTGTGTTTATATTGTTGGGAAATAAATAAAAACCTAAACACAAATAGTCATTTTAAAGGGCATTGAGACAAAAAAGCCACAAAAAGTGAGGAGACAAGAAAGTTGCAAATAAAAATTAAATACTAAAAAAGCACTTAAGAGAGTGTAATTGACCCTTTGGTACAAGCGGCTGGCCAATCACAGCGCAGTATAGGTCTCGCTCTAACTGAGGTCCGACACTTTCATGGCTGCGCTCCATTGACTCTAATGCAAAAGGAGTCGTTTTCTAGCTTGCTTTTGCGGTATCTTTCTAAGATATGGTCAAACACTGTTCCCAGGGCACTACCCAGAGAGGTTGAAATGAGAAGTAAGATATATTCCCTTTCCAAAACCTAAAACAAATCCAGAAAAATATAGGCTGTGGATTGTTCCTAATGTAATGTTAGTTAGCTAACGCTAGCTAACTTCCTACTGAATGTAAAGTAATAAAGCCCTACTGTTCTGCTTTTTAATGATTGTAATAGTGAATAGAGGCCTACCCAGCTGTAGAGGAACAGTGTTGATCCTTAATATCGTCCTCTTTCTCAGTAGTCTGGTGATATGGTGGTTCACTTTTACTCTTTTTGATCAGTAGGCTTTAGCTTCTATCATTATGTTTTTCATATCAGTTTGAGTCAGTTTGACAGCCTGAATACAACTTTCAAATGCACAACGCAACTGCAAAACTTATTTTTGTGGTCGTTTTTTCAAAAATCAAACAATATTTCTCCAGGGAGAGCATTAATAAAAAGTGGCATCGCCATGATAAAAGTCCCGTCAGGTCCGACAGTTTGTCGGACTTAGCAACAGTAACCAAGGGGGGCGAGGCTTGGCAAAGGGTCAGTTGGGCGGAGGGTGAAGTGTAGCAGCAGAGGGTGTGAAATCCTGGATTCATCCATTAATCATCTACATAATGTAATTAGTGACAAGGCGTCGCCTTCAAATATGTTTTGTCCGACCGGCAGTCTAAAACACCAACATTTTTATATGACCATGACAAAATGAAAGCAGCACATACTCCCTGGGAATCAGCATAGTGAAGTGTGCATCTTACAACGCAAAGACAGTAGTGCAGAACATTAACAGTTGAGTAGTGTGATTGATTTATGGTCCATTAGTGGTTTTGGTCCCATGCGACTCCTGTTTCACTTTGTTTTGTTACTTTTCAGTCCATCCTTTCTCAACTGAATGCCCAAAAAAACAGGTAACATCTTCGTGTGTGGCGAATAATCGCACTTGCGCTGAGGAGCTATCGGGAATACAGACCTTGATGTTGAGGTCTCTAAAAGAAGGGCAGTAGAGTTATAGAGTGGATATAATCCTGCAGGAGAGACTTGTCAGTTTATCATGTCCTGCTCTCCGCTCACAGCTTCACTACCTTTAGTCATAGCTCTTGTCAGGCCCCGATCAGCTCCTTCACCCAGCAGTCACCTCTGGTTCAGTTTCACTCTCAAAATACCCTCCGGTGCTGAGTGTGAGGACAGAAATCAAGATAGTTAATTGCAGGAAATTTGGCTCTGAGGGATTCATGTTTTGACTCCCCTGCTAGCTGCCCACTCGGTTTGATAATAGTAGCAGCTTCCAACCAGAAATTACCGGCCTAAATATGAAAATATTTCTGTCAATTACATAATCGGATCATTTTGTATCTTATTCTGGAGGATGGTGCACTGATTCCTGACGCACATGTCCCAAATCCATCTGAACAGGCGGAGAAGCTGCGTGATAAATGCTGTGATTTTCCTCTTAGTAAAGCTGGTTTGCAGCGTAGTACCACTGAACATTTCCCTGTGATACCTCTGGCATCTAGTTTGTTCCCATTCAAATGTCATGTATGGAGGACAGATGGCACATGGACCTCTGATGAAGTCTACAGGTCTCAATCGTGTCAAGAACAAGAACAAACTTTTGTTTGCAGTTATATTTCTTTTTTTTTTGCATTCTGTAAATAAAACTGCTGCTTATAAAGCACATGGGAATCTGTAGGGAGGCATGACTGACATTAAGAAGCAAAGGCGGACCAGACAGGATTTGACGGCTCTGTGCTTTCTTACAGTGCAGACATCACATGGTACATTTCTAGGCCTAGCATCAGAGAACAGGAAAATCATTTGATTTTCCTCTACAAATTTCTGCTACTAGAGCTCTCCTCTTCTACAGCTTTAAAGTCTGTTTGCAGTGCGGCCAGCCGCATACTCCCCTCTGTAGTCGATCCGAGCAGCTTTCACGATAGTCTCTGCTGTAGCCGTGTCCACACAAGAGTGACAGGTTCATTAAGAAGATAAAGGCAGTACAGAACAACTCTTTTTGGTCCCACTTAGCTCTGGTCAGACTTTCCTACCAACAGTTTGGTCAGATTGAGATATAGTGCAGCTTTTCTTTTTTCTTCCAGTCTTTGCAGCAAAGAAATATGGTTCTTTTGTGAATGTGATGGTCTTATTTGGCCACGAGAGAAGTGTTTGGACAGCAGAGAACGTTACATACTGATACAGTGGAAAGGATTGGTTTAAAGTCATTATCAATAAACAACATCTGGCACTGGTACAGGTTCAGGCTCTGTCAAAACTCGACACTGCATCACACAGTTAAGTTGGCCAGTAATTGGTGGGAAATTACCTGATCTATATCACATTTTCCACAAGAGCAATTTCAAAGGTTTGAGTCATTTTAGAGGATCCTCTACATTAGGGCTGCGACTAACAATTATTTTCATTATTGATTCATCTGTGGAATATTTTCTCTATTAATCGATTATTTGTTTTGTCGGAAATAATGAAAAATGCTCACCACAACTTCCCAGAGCCTAAAGTGACATCTTCCGGTGTTTTGTCTTGTTTAACCAATAGTCCTAAACCCAAAAGATACTGTATCTAGTCAACGGTCATAAAAAGAGAAAGATGAGAAGCAAAATCTTTCCATTTTAGAATATTTGTCATTTTTGCGTAAAGAATGATTCAAGCGATCGATTATCAAATTTTTTTTGTTGGTTGATTAACTTATTAATTATTAATCTATTAATCACTTCTTTTGTTGATTCTGCTCCCCTCTAGAAGGAGATTTAGAGTACCAGAGGTCAGGTTTAACAGACCTTCATGCCATCAAACTGTTAAATAAAAAATGTTGGCTGGACGTACTCCAGGTTTCATGTTGTGCTGTCACTTGGTGAACATAGTGTTATGTGAGCTTGCATGATGGATAAGTCATTTGTTTTTACATATTTTATTGTATGTTTTATGTTTTTCATTGTGTTTCATGTATCTTATTTTTAAGTCTGTGTGAGTGAGTTTTAAGTCTGTCTCACGCGGCTCATCAGGTCTTACATCTACACTGGGTATTTACTGCAAACACTGTATGTAGTGGTATAGAGCCAGATCGGTAAATCGCCCAGGCCGATATTGGCTTATTCCAATGGTGTAAATGAAAATAGCAAATGGTCGCATGGTCGAAAAATTACAGATTGGGCCGTTTTAATTTATGTGTGAGAACTGCAAAGCTGAGTCCGAGTGGCCTTGTGGGGATTCCTTATAGTCGTCCTATATCTCAGAAAGTTGTGCATTGCAGACATGATTTTATTTGGCCTCTGTACTTTAAGACAGTGCTGTCAGTGCTTTGGTGCAGTGTCAGCCAGGTTTTGATGCAATGGTCCAACCAGTTGGAGAACATGTGCCCAGTGTAGAGCCATTGCTGTTGTGGGTCTGTAAAGCTGAATGTGAATGTGACATAAAAATAAACTTGATTTTTACTGCCAGAGAAGCAGTATTTAAACCAGTGCAGCTCTTTCCTCCATTGCTCAGCGATATAGTGACCTTTCAGTGGATGTAAAGGTCATCCTGAACGCAGCAAGAAGAAAAGCTGGTCAGACTTCCCAGAGAACGGAAGAGCCGTAAACCGCCGCTATGACTGCAAATACCACATAGATTATCTGTAGTGAGGGCTTTACATATCTTCTGGATGGAGCCAGACTAAGCTCCTCGGTACTTAGGAGGATGGCGCTTTCTTTCAGGTAACTGAAAGTTTGTGAACATTGACGTTAGGTTTTAAACAAACCTAATATAGCTTCATTTATTAGTCTGAAATCAAATCAAATCAACAAATGTAAAGGAGATATGTTAACCGATATGGAGATTCCTCTTGAAATCAACAACCATCATATAGTTGGCCTATACGCTCAACAAAAATAAAATAACTGTCTTAGAACATTTTCTTTTTTCCTTATAATTCGTATCAAATGACGCTCTTTCAGGAATCTTCCTGGAATATTGCAAAGAAATTACAGACCTTGTGTCCCATTTTCTGTGAAAGTAGAAGCTGGTAAACACTAACATCTACATATACATATTTAGATACATTTGTTGTTGTCCTTAGAAAATAATCTTACCAAAATTTTTGTCGTATGTCCAAATTTCCATTTCTTGTGAGCACTTTAGAGGACAGGTACATCATCTTAAAGCCATTGTGAATGAATATATTTAAATTATATTAACATTAACTTTAATAGAAATGTTTACCAGTCAGCAGAAAGGTGAAATTGGACTTCACGGTGCCTTTGGAGCCTCAGAAACTAGACCATAAGCTTTCTGTACATGAAAATGGAAGAAGTCTGAAATCGTTCTAAAACCCAAGAGACAACATTTTTAATCCAATTTAATTCATTTAATGCTTTATTTTGGCCTGTCTGAAACAAGCACTCTTGTAAATTGAGCACTTTATCTTCTGGCAGAATTGCATGCAGTTGGCGATGACAGAGCGGCTTGGAATGGAGTGAAAATGTCACACACGCATCACACATGGCTAACTTCTCACTGCACAGCTCAGTGCAAAGTGTTTTAAATGGGTCTTTTAATGACTCGTCTATCCAAGCCATGGTTAATCAGTGGATGCTTGAGAAACAATTACTGAAACATACGAAGCCTGGAGCTCTCAAACGGATTCCTGTGGCTCGCTAATGAACGTCTGGGGTTCAGGAGAAGAAATAAGTTCGTTGCTACGGGAGATGGACTGAGGATGTTTTTTAAATAATTATAAAGTTAAATGTACTTGGTTGTCCACAATAAATGATCAAATCCACTCTGAAACCACGGAATGAAAAGTGTGACTGGAGTTAAAACTCAAGCAAAAGACGGAATACACGTCATAACATTGTACGTTAACAGCATATCTGCTGTTAGTTTGAACAGCTTTTCAGAGAGAAAAAGGGAAAAATGAGCAGTAAAAGAGTAAAAACAGCAGAGCACTTCCTTCTCTATTTATACAGGTCTAGAGTACAAACCGTCCCAGGTCAAAGGCACATTTCACAGATCGTCTCCAAACTATCGTCTCCCAAAAGCTTATTTAAAGTCAAAGAGGATTTTCAAATGCAGACGAAATTCATTTGCTTTTCTTTTCTCCCCCCCCGTTATTCCAGTAGAGCATAATCCGAAATGTGTGTCACTTTCAGAGGGTATGGAGATTTAAGCGATTTCAAGATGGCTCCTTAAAGTCTTCCATTTAAAATTCATTGAAAACAGATTTGGGGAAGGGGGGGGTAGAAAATCAATTTGAAACAGTTATGAGTTATGAAAACAAATTCCACATTGATTGGCTCTCACACTTATCTCTCCCTGTGTAAACAAATAGTCCATGGGAGGAAAATGCAAATTGCATTAGCCTCAGTGTTGCTGAAGGTCAAAATCAGCTGATACAATTATGCGCTGTTTAGAAGCAATACTGGATTAGAATAATGAGAAGAGCTGCTCAAACATGAACAGCCGCTTTGATATCCCACAGGTGGAAAAGCCATTTGTGTAACTAACACCCAAAATACATTTATGCAGCAAGAGTCAAGTAGAAATATCAATAAACTGGTTTGTTTTTTTTTATATTGTGAGACATTTTGAGTCAATTTCTAAATGCCTCGCTGCCTTAGGTCTGTTATGAAACAAATAATACAATTTGAATTCCATCATCCTGCCCTAAACAAGTAATTACAGAGTGATATAAATAAACTATGAACTAAATAATAATCAATTTAACCTTGAATGCATCTTGTTTTCTCAGCTATTAAATTATACTGAAAGTAAAGTTGTAGTAATGCAAATATCCTGGAAGTATAAACAGAGATAGTATCTGAGCTTGTGCTGGGTATTTTTTTTAGGCTGGAGTCTCCAACACGGACCCTGACCATGGAAGCTCCCAGAGGGGTGGAAGTGAGCGCTGCCAAGGGGACGCTGAAGGTCAGCAGTCGAAAGGACCTACAGCTGGAGTCCACAGAAGGAGAGGTGAGGAAGATTAGACTCCACAGGGTTCATACGACTCCTCATGTAATTGTGGAATAACGGACATGTGTTTCAAATTAAAAATTTAAACAGGATTAACACTTTACAGCCATGCTAGCAGCTTTTTGCGGCTTTGCCCAGACACAACAGTGCTTTGAACTAAATGCTGCTAACATGCTTTTCACCATCTTAGTTTAGTGTGTTAGCATGCTCACATCTAGTACAGTTGAGGCTTGAGGCTGACCAAATATACCAAAGGTAGACATATTTAAAAATTTAACCCAATGGTGGCACCACTGTAAAAGTTACTACTTTTCATCACGAGGGCACATGAATGTCTGTGCAAGGTTTCTTGGTTATCCATCCTGTAGTTTTAGAAATATTCCAGTTTCTAGGCTCTGGACTAAAGTGGTGGACTAACACTGCCACCCCTTGAGCCACGCCGCTAGCATGGCTAAAAATGGGGAATTTTGTGTTCCAAATAATGTGTTGTATTTCCCTCCACCTGTCACGATGTATTCAGTGATTGCACCAGTGTCATACATCAGTTTGAGCTGCTAATGCATCACTTCAGGGCACCTCTGGCGATGATATTTGAATGACTTTCAGCACGTCTCTGATGTTTTCCCTCCCAGATACTTTTAGACGCCAACACCATTCAGCTGGGTAGCCTCCCGCTCGGCATCTACACAGCGACATCCAGCGACGCCTCAAAAGAACAGGCAGTATACGAGGTGTGCGTCTGCCCCAGTGGCAAGATCTACCTCTCTCCGGCAGAGAGCAGCTCCACCTGCCAGGCCATGAGCAACATCTGCCTCTGGAGCTGACCTGGGAGCAGTGTCGGCCATTGGAGACCACTTTTTTTTTTTTTTTTAACATCTACTCTGGAGCTGCCCAGATTCAGACTCCTCCGTTGGTACATTTAACAGAGCGTAGAACACATCACAGCGGAGCTGGAGCTCAAACTCTTCACTGTCTGAGTTCAGTTAGCACAGAAGCATCCAAGTCCACCGCCTGCAGTGGTCTGCTGGAGGTCAGGACTCTGCCACGGACAGTGTTTGAGGAATGGCAGTCAGAGCAGTCTGAAATCAGGAATATCTCATACAAACAGGAACACTTCCACTACCTTATATTAGAGCCAGAGGATACACCCTTTATTTTTCTACTTTAAGTTCATTGTAGACATGCTGTCTGTTTTGAAGTTTCAGAGAGAATCGATGAGGAAAGGTAAAACACAGGTGCCTTCAGCTTTAAAAGAAGTCATATTGTGACTAATGATGTACCTGTCTGTTCAAACGGAGAGAGATATTTAAGGGTTTTAACGTAACGATGGTAGGAACACAATTAAGCACAATTCTGTCATGTTTTTTTTAATAATCTTAATAGATATATTAGGTTTTCCCCACTAAGTGAGTGGCTGTTTCGTTTGAAATTAAACATGTTTTTATGTGGCACACATTGTACTTGACGTTTAACTGTGATTTTTGACCGGTTAAAAACATACAAACATGCTGTTTTGAATGTTCAGGTAAAGACTTCTCCACTTTAAGTTAAATATTCTAACTTTTCTTGATGATGCTGATACTACAACATGAGAGAATTAGTTGAAAAAACAATTGCATGAGAAGGTCCATTTAGCAGCTGTTCTGGAGCTTGCGAGCATATCAAATGATGTTCATTTCCATTTTTGGTTTCTTGAGCGCTTTAAAGGACTTCTCATCCATTTTGGCTTCATTCTTGAACATGGAAACAGCAGACGAGGACCACAAAGCCCATTTAGTACCTGCTCTGGAACCTTCGATCTTATCATGTGATCTTCAGCATGGACGAGATGTACTGAAACTACTCAGAAATGAATGGAAATTCAAAGGATTACAATTCCAAGACAACTGGGAATCATGAGGATCATGTGATGTGATTGAAAGCTCTGGAACTGCTCCTAAATGTAGCATTTTTTATACATAACAAAATTTTACAAACATTTCATTCAGTTAATTCTTTATCTTGCATCTTTTTAGGTCTTAATACTTGTCCACTGGCTAAATGTAAAGGAACATTTGTCAATTAATTACCTGCTAGTAACTCTTGGATATTAAAACGCAACTCTGCGAGTGAACTGTACTTTTCTCCGATGCAACGAAGTTTGACACGAGAGGCTGGCTGACCTTGGCGCTGCAGCTGAGACCGAGGCAGGCAGCCCGTGTGTCAGCAGGCCTGCTGGGGGATGCTCGCTCCACTCCGCTCTCTCATACTCCTCTTCACCCTGCGGCAGGGGCAGGCTGGTTTGGTAAGAGCCATGATTGCTTTCTAACAAGAGCTTAGCTGCCACAGATGCACTATGAAAATTTTTTGTTGTGTGTGGAAATCAGCCTAAATAGCAAAGTGGGGCTACAACAGAAAAGTGTTTATTGTGATGCTGCAGAGTCCCCCCCCCCCCCCCTTTTTACTAAGCAAAAAAGCTGCTGTCAGCTGGTTTATTCCATTATCCCCTCTTTCCCTGTAAGGTTGATGTGCATCTTATACAGCAAAGATACCTAGTGGAGGCTGGAACAGTACGTTATCGTAGCCTGCTGCTCCACGGTCACGGCCGCATTACAAGTTTTCTGGCTCTAATTGAGGCCAAAGTTGCAACTGATCTGGCTTTCTGATGGCAAGAACTACTGTAGCTGTTGTATTTAAATCTCATTTCCCAAAAGAACATGAGAAATGGCTCTGTAGCAGCAGGACAGTTGACCAGGAGTTATGAGTATGTGACACCAACTGATTGGTTCAAAGCTATGCTTAAAATTTGTGTTTTACACATTTGAGATTGACCAGATACTAAGATGGGACCTGAATGAGGCTGGAGCCTGTGACCCTGTTGCCAGTCTAACACCAACTTGTTTACCTTGACAAATCACCTAATTAACACTGAGACAAAGGGTTGTTCTGCATATTTGCATGACTTGTGGGCTTTAGAAAGTCTCCAAACTAATAATTCACTCTCCATCACCAGCAGTAATACACAAACCCCATATTAAGTAGGTAGGATGACAGGTGAGAGGTGGTGTAGACTTGCAAAATAAAGTCAAATCAGTTCACATTAGGGAGCTGGATGTTTTTGCTGCTGGCTAAAAAACTCCGTATTTGCATTTCTGATCATGCTGAAACATTGATTTGGTTCCAGCAGGCACCAGATGCTGAAGACCTCAGAGATTGTGGCTGTTTTGGATTTTTGCCTTTTGTAGGCATATGGTTTTACAAACTGAACGTGGATGATTTCCAGATCACAGCAGGTCCACATCAGGCGAGGTTTCATTACGAAAAGAATAATTTTTATCAGATACAGTAAGTTTTTATTTCATTGTCAGTATGTGAAGTGCATTTAATAATGTAGCGTATTTAGGGTCTTATCTGGATTGAGTGTTGCATGTACGGAACGGTTCCCTACTTTTAAAATCCATTTTGTTTAGGGTTTAAGTTATATCGACGTGTGTGTGTGTGTGTGTGTGTGTGTGTGTACACTTCACTTTGACCTTGAGATCTCACTTTAACATAAACACCAAGACCACATCCTCAAGGGCTCATGAAGATTAAAATAAAACATTTCTGTAGGTTCATTTGGTACGGACAGATATAATCAGTAGATTTGTTAGTATACAGCTGAAAAGGTGATACGCTTTGGTTTTAAGTTGTAGTCATTGTTGGCAGGATGCCAGTCGCGTGCCCCTTCATACTGATTATATCACTCTCAATCCAAAGATTGCCTCATGGTTAACGTTGCACCATCAACTAACAAACAGGTCATTTTTTCAAGACGTTCACGCAGAAATGCAGCTTATCGTGCTTCCTAAGCATAAATGTTCTCATGTGCCTCCATGTAAAACATTATGGATTACCACTGTAAGCTAATTGATAGCCTTACTGCCGCAAGATAATGCAGGCTGAGTACCGTCGCCCACATAATGAAGTGAACTTTGTCAATTTTGATGCTGCAGGGAAATGTGATTAACAAAGTACACAAACTTCTAATGTATTTACCAGCGCTACAGTTCATTACTTCATTTCACATTTAGCCAGAGAAAAACACTGTGCATCAAATTACAGTGATAAATGGTACTCAGTTTGCTGCTGTTTTAGGTGCTGTGAAAGTGCACTGAATTCAGCTCAGGACTTCTTAATGTGCTGTAATGGTATGTTTATATTTATATTATTTATATTATCAGAACATTGTGCTGTAACAGAGTTTTCACCATCTAGGAACTATTATAAAACACAGTTCTCCGCAGATCCAATACTGCCATCTATTGGCTTGTAGACCTCAAGATTACATTTAGAAAATCCAATTTCCAAAGTTCAAAGCTGGATCACTGCCTGAATAAAGAGGGCACATGTCCCCGGGGACCTTGAAAGCCCCAGCTCCACTGTAAGTCAATTAGTTTATATTGTGCTTATGTACTACATAAATGTAATGTAAATGCTCCGTACTTGTATAGCGCCTTTCTAGTCTTTTCGACCACTCAAAGTGCTTTTACACTACATCTGCAGGCAATTTGGTGTTCAGTATCTTGGCCAAGGATACTTCGACATGCAGCCTGGGGATTGAACCACCGACCTTCCGATTAACAGGTTGTTCTGGGTTTTTAGGCAAATTATAATTTGAAGCTGCTATGTTGTTTCTTTTACAAATTAGGTAAACAACACCCCTTCAATTTTCTGGGTGGCTAAAAACCACGGTTAAGTAACGTGACAGAATTCAGAATGTAAAAGAAGCTTTAATTCTTGAATTGCAAACAAACTCCATAATTATAGGCATCTGAATAAAACAATGTAAGATCTTCCAGCCTGTAATCAACCACTGATCGTCAGAATGAAATTGAACCACGATGCATTAAACAGTAATTATGTATGCAACAAAATAATGCCTGTTGTATTATGAGATAAGGATTGTTTACAGCAAGACAGGATAAAGCTGCAACTTGTATGAAAAGTTCAGTGAATACTAAATATTCTGAATACAGATCATTTAGATACAGGCCATAACTGTGAGGATCTTGTAATACCTTAATTTAAAGTTCTCAAAATGTAAATATGGTCAACATCATTAAGTATACCAAAAATGACATGTTTATATATCAATTGTAAAAAGTGTTATAAACATTGGAGTCTGCTGGACAAACTAGTTCAGGAATTAAACCTCAAGTGAAAAATGTAAAATTATAAGCCTTTCCCTGTATACTGATATTTAAAATACCAATTTCAACCTATAATATTGTCCCACCAATATCTGACTTTTTGGCATCAAGAAGCTTTTGTTAATACCTGAAATCAGCATCTTACATAAACCTAATCATGTTCAATCAAGTTCTTACCTTCAGTTAAAAATGCATATATAAAGAAGGGTGGGAGTCATTTTCAGTGACTGATACTTCCTCCTTTAAATTCTACCAACTAAGCATTGGTTTCTGGGGTTTACAAAAAATACTGACAATACCTAAAGTAGGCAAAGCCTTAAAACTTGGGACTACTGATTACTATCATTCAATTAATCTGCAGATTAGTTTCTCGATTAGTTATTTAACAGACATATGGTGAAAAATGTAGACCGGTGTTTCCCAAAGTCCAAGAGGGTGTCCTCAAATGACTTTTGTCCACAACCTACAGAAACCACATCTAATTTTGACCCTTTTCTTAAAAGATTACTCAAACTGATTAATCGATTATCAAAATAGTTGGAAATTAATAGTTGACAACTAATCGATTCATTGTTGCAGCTCTACTTAAAACCCTGTATATATTTATCATTGGTAATCATGTCATGGACAGTTTCAGTATTCTGCTTTTGAGAATGTGGATCGTTGACAGCTAAGGCATCTTGATTCCTGTCAGGGATTGTTGTTGCTTCTGTAGTCGGGGACGTGTTTGTACGGGTGAACAGGTCTCCGGCTTCCAGCTGCATTCCTCGCATCAATGTACTCGTACAACGTACAAGGTACCCTGGAACCAATGGATTAGATGTGACTCATTTACACTCAAGCTACATTAGTTTCAACTAGGGGTGTAACCCTGGTATGTTTGCCTGGCTACATCAAAAGGACCAACCATACTGTGAAGGTTATGATCAGTTTTTGTTTAAACTGAATTTGTTTAAATGGGGTGGTCCAAAAAAAAACAACAAAACACCCGTCAAACTATGTACAGCTAACCTTGTTTTGTCTCGAGCTGCGTGCTTATTGCACAGACATGGTTGGTGTCATTCTGTAACTCCGAAAAAGAAAGCAATGTTCCCAAAATAATTAACTATTCCATATTAAAATCAATGTTGGATATAAAAAGGCACTCACCTCACATTCTCATCTTGCAGGTCCTCTGCTTTAAGGGCAGATTTGGAAATGCCCATGCCTTGAGGAATCCTGTCTGGGTATCTCACAGCAATCTTATTGCCATTCAGCTCATAGCCCTGAAGAAGTGAACAAACATCACA